CGAGGACCTTTAACCACTTGCGCCACCGCGCCGGGCCCAATAAAGACTCTTTAATAAACCTTGTCTGGCGTGATCTCGCTCGCACCCTCCAACAGATTCCTCTGTGGTCACCTACAGGCCTGCCCATCTGGGCAGGATAGGCGCTGGCCCTTTGGGACTCAGCCACTGGCAGGTGGTGCCTGGGTGCCTGGGGAGTGTGTATCTTCTGGGTCTCTCCATTCCAGGTATGTTGGGAATATTTTTTTCCTTCCCCTCCCTGCTTTCCTCTTTTTCCTTGCCTTATACTCTTTATTTTCTCATTTCCTCTTTTTGTCTGCTTTCTTTTCTTTCTAATTTTTTTTGCTTATTTATTAGGCTAATAAAATTTGTTAAATTTTCTCTATGAATATCTTTTTCTGTCAGAGCTAATTTTTTCCTGTGTATTAGGACACTTCCAAAACTTGTGAGAAATGTGTACTATGAAATTAGATTACAACCCCAGGCAAAGGATGACAGAAAGTATGTGGGCGAATGGACTCTGAGGCCAACTAAGTCAGCAAATGGACATTGACAGGGGTCCCTCATCATGGGATTGGCACGATTGACAACATTTCAGAACTATCAAAACCACCTGGGCAGAACCCAGGAAGTATGTACCACATTGCGACACTGGCTTGATATGGGGTGGACATTCTCAATCCTTGGGTACTGGAGCAGTCAGGAGGCTGGATATGGCTTCTCCCTTTGTCTGCCACTCAACCTCTGCCCCTCAAAACAAGAAAGAAAAACAGAAATATGAAAACAATGATCACATCCACTTTTCCCTAACCCTTGATCTATCCCACTCTGATCAGCTATGCTAAAATCATCTAAAAAAAAAAAACTTAAAAGAAAAAAGAAATTAAATTACAATATTTTTGCACCAAAGTCAGCTCATGTTCTGATTCTATTTCCATGAATGTCCTGACACCCCTTGTGCATCTCAGGGGTTGGAGGAGAGTGAGACCTCCTCACCTCCTCTGGACTCAGGTTTGGCAGTGAGTGCGGGTCCATTCAGAGCAAGGTTGGGCAGCAGGGGTCCTAGGCCAGGAGGACTCTGTGGCTGACGTCTGGTTGGGGCTGGGCAGACCCTGGTCCTTGGGAGGGAGTAGGGCAGAAGGTTGAATCTGAGTTGAGGTTGTATCATTATAGGGGTGACAGCCTGGCCTGGGAGGGCTCTTCCCCAAGAGGTATAGACTGACAGGCCCAGAAGGAGAAAGAGTACCCTGGGGCTCTGCTGAGCAGGTTGTCAGGCCACAGCTCAGCTTACGAGCCAGGTTCATGACCGATGGAAGAGAAAATGTTATAAAGTAGAAAAAATCATACCACCATGTGTTTGTGTATGTGTGCTTACATATGAGTGTCTTTTTTAAAAAAAAGATTTATTTATTTATTTATATTGGAAAGGCGGATATACAGAGAGGAAGATCTTCCATCCTTTGATTCACTCCCCAAGTGACTGCAACAACTGGAGCTGAGTTGTTCTGAAGCCAGGAGTCAGGAGCCTCCTCTAGGTTTCCCAAGCAGGTGCAGAGTCCCAATGCTTTGGGCCATCCTCGACTCCTTTCCCAGGCCACAAACAGGATGTTGGATGGGAAGCAGGCCTGCTAGTATTGGAACCAGTCTCCATATGGCATCCCTGCGTGTGCTAGGTGAGCTGCTAGGCCATTGTGCAGGGCCTGAGAATGTGTCTTTTATTTTTCTTTTGTATCCAGAAAGTGAGCAACTAGAAAATAGTTTTTTAAAAAAAGGTTTATTTATTTTTACTGGACAGATTTACAGAGAAGAGAAACAGAGAGAGAGAGAGAGAGAGAGAGAGAGAGAGAGAGAGATCTTCCATTAGCTGGTTCGCTCTAAAAATGGTTGCATTGGCCAGGTCTGAGCTGATCTATAGCATGGAGCCAGGAGCTTCCTCCAGGTCTCCAATGGGGGCTGTCTTCTGTTTTTTCAGGTGCAATAGCAGGGAGCTGGTTCAGAATTGGGACTTAAATAAGTGCCCTTGTTGTGTCAGATTTCGAAATCTCCAGAAAATCAAGTCTGATGTCGGTGCTAAGGAATAAAGGTGGTTTATTCAGGGGAACCTAGGTCTCCCAGCCACCCCCGACCCAGTCCAGCTGGGCTGGAGGGGGAAGGGCCACTGTAGCCGAGGCTGCTGAAGGAGCAGCAGGACAGGAAAAAGAGAGAGAGAGAGAGAGAGAGAGAGAGAGAGAGAGAGAAAGAGAAAGAGAGAGAGCCCTCACCCCCGGCCAGTTGAGCAGCCCAGGGTTCTTATAAATTTCAGGCTATTAATTATACAGTCATGATTTAGCAGGCTTCTATTGGTGGGTTTGAAGAAAGCAACTTCCAAAAAGTACAAACTGATGAGCTATAGGGTAGTGGGTCTTATCTAACACCAGGGACCTCCTTCCTGAGGAGTGGTCTGCCTACGTGACCTGTTAGGTAGCCTGCCAGGTGTCATGTGGACTGTCAGGCCTGGAGTTCACACAGCCCTCAGCCAAGCCATTAAGGCAGAAATCACCAAAGTCAAAAATATATAGATTCTTCACCCTGATAGGATGAAGGTGTCTCGGGTTGCAGCTTAATCCAGTATGTCATAGCAGCTGCCCCAGCTGTCGTATTTTAAAATAGTAACACGTTTAATTTACTTTGCGTTGCCTGTCATCTTATGGCTGAAACTCTTATTCAAAACTAAGTTGAAAGTACTAGAACTACTAAGAGTTATGACCTACTTGCTAACACGGAAGTGAAATGTTAAACTCAACACTATTAGGATCATTTATTTCAGGGGGAAATCATTGGTGTCTCAGTGAACACACTCATGTTAGAGCTGCAGGGTTCTGGGTTCTGGGAGAAGGATTGCTGCTTGCTGCCCTCCTTTCCAACCTCACAGGGCTCTGTGGGTGTGTTTCACAGAAACTGCCCTGGGCTGGGTACCCCTACCTCTGCCTGATAAGCAGGGCAAGTTCTGGGCTACAAGATGAGAGGAGCTTCAGGCAGTATATCAAGTGGAGGCTCTGATAGTCTGTGTTCCTTTGCCAGCTCTTCCTCACTTTGGGTCGTTTGGAACTGGGGCTGGGCTGGGAGGGAGAGTGGGGACACTGGAAGGTGCAGTCTCCCTGCAGCTCTACCTTCTGCTTCCTCTGGGAAGTTCCTGGATCTGGACATGACAGGGCTCATGTTCTACTCTGCCTGTTTACAGGTGTGGCAAGAAGGTGGCAGGCAGCTAATGTGTGTAGCTTAGATCCTGACAGCTAATCCACACTGAGTAAAATGTAGCTGTTTCTTTAGCATCTCTGGGCCTTGGGAAACCCCCCTGACGGGCAGTGCAGGTGGTGACTGAGAGGAGGGGCTGAGGAGTGGCTGGAGCTGTGAGGGCTGTGCTGCTGCCACTCCCCGGGCAGCTATAGGGATGTCCATTTCCTTGTTCATGCTGAGAGCAGGGAGCAAGGTCCACAGGGTGGGTACTTCCTGCTGGGGCAGCTTTCACTTTAAATGGTGCCAGGGACTAGAGACGAGCTGACGCTTGTGGCTGGGATGGCATAGTGGTCCTGGGGTCAGGGCTCTGCAGAAGCTGCTGCAGCTGTGCCCACTCTGCTGTTCTGGTCTCCTGGGAGCCCAATGTCTCCTGGGAGTAGCTGCCCTGGGCCCAGAAGTGCACCAGGCAGAGGATTCAGTGGATCTGAGTGCAGTCCAGGGCAGGTGCAAGCTTGGAGGTGTGGACTGCTGGGGTCTCTGTGAATTTGTTGACTTTAGAGAGCCTGCAGGAAGTCACAGCTGTTCACACTGAGGACAAAGAAAAGCAGGTAAGCTGGGCTGAGGACACCTGTGGGGGAGGAGGAGGAAGGCAGGGAGAAGCTGGCTGGGAGGAGGCTCAGAGTGTGAGGCAGAGGGTGGCTGGAGGGGGTGGCTGGATAAGTGTTGCTCAACGAAGACCAGGACAGCGTTGCTGATCATAGTGCCTTATGTCATTACTTTTCATTATATTTCTCAGGTACTAAGACAAGGTCAGGTTCTAACCTCTCATAATGACTGTACTGATACAAAGTCGTGCAGCTCTCACTGCATGGTGGGTGACGCTGCTACCTCCTCGTTGGCAGAAGGAGGAACTAAGTCCTGGAATGCCAAGGACCATGGCTGAAGTGGCGACACTGAAAGTGGTTGAGCTGCATGGAGCCTAGCAGAGGGGCCCTTGAATCTGTCCTCCAAGGACCAAGGCTGCCCTCTCTCCCTTTCTCCTACAAAGAGTAGGTGGCATCTTGTTCTGACCAAGGCTCATGTGCTTGTCTCTGTGGCCTCATCACTGGGTCCTTTGATGCTCCTGGAGAAATCTCCCTGTGTAGAGAGTGAGGATTCTCCTGTCAGTGGGAATTGCCTGGTTACCTGTTCACTGCAGGGCATATCCTGAGGAAATGGAGGAAGGAGCCTGGATGGGATTCCATTTGAGGTGATGTTAGAGCCCACAAGCCAGACAGGTTGTTGTGCGCCTGTGATGAGCACACAGGCTCCATGAGGATGGGACTATCTCTGATGCTCCTCTGCTGTCCTCTGCTGTCAGGGTCTTTTGGCCCCACATGGCTGGCATGTGGATCGTGTAGGGCATGTTTTAATCTATGAGGGCTGATGGGTGACACTGGCCTTGCTGTTAACATCTAGGACCTTCCCTCTGTGCTGGACCTGCCTCCTTCCTGCCCAGTGCTTTGTCCTTCACTGTCCTCTGACAACATGGAATGTGGCAGCTGCCCCTCTCTGCTCTGCAGTCTTCCCTCCCTGCTTCTCCTGGTGCAGCTGCCCACATGGGGCTCTGCAGGTGAGTGTGTTCCCATCTTTCCTCCCGATCTCCCTGGGGTGGGAGGAGTCCTTGGTGCTCTGTGCCAGGATGGAGTGAGGTGTGTGGCTCAATTCTGGAAAGAGGATGGCGCTCCCCACCCTGATTGTCCTTTCTCATTTAAGAAGAGACACTGACCATCAGGGGAGTGTGAGGGATGTTTTCAAGCGTTCAAGGATCTTTATGGGCTCAGCCTGTGGCTCCCAGTGTTCTCAGTCCTGTGTCTCTGTCCACAGCTATGTTCCAGGTGATTGGTCCCTCCAAGCCCATAGTGGCAGTGTTGGGTGGTGATGCCATTCTGCCCTGCTCCCTGTGGCCACCCATGAATGCAGAAGACATGGAACTGCGGTGGGTCCGTTCCACATTCACAAAAGCAGTGCTCGTCTATCAGAATGGTCAGGAGCTGGACAAGGAGCAGCTGCCCCAGTATGCAGGGCGGACCTCACTGGTGAGGGATTTCCTCTCTCGGGGTCAGGCTGCTGTGTACATCCAGAACATACAGGTTTCAGACAATGGCAAGTACACTTGCCTCTTCAAGCAAGGAATACTATCTGATGAAGCCATTTTAGAACTGCAGGTGGCAGGTTGGTAACTTGATTTGTATTCTAGAAGCCTTGGTAATACTGGATTTGGGAGGAAACTCATGTAATTCAGCATCTCATTTCGCATATGAGGGAAAGGCAGCTCATTCATTCACTGATACACTCTCTAAATATAAACTTTGTTTGAGAAGATCCTAGGTTGTGCCATGCTTTGTTTTGGATACCAAGGACCCTGTGTAGTTTATGATCCAGAGGCTGAGACAGAAGCAAGGAAAATAAATGAGTAGTTTGATGATGTTAGAATGTAATAACTGACCAGGAACATCAAGTGGAGGGAATCTGGCTGTGGGCAGTGGAGCGAGGGCATCCTGTGGGTTCAGATGAGGCCTCAGTGTTGATCTCAGCATGACTCAAAGGAAGTGGCTCTCTAATTGGATATTTGGGTGAGGGGGGCAGAACAAGCTTCAAAGTAGGGAGGTATGCAGTGTGAAATCTTTGGTACAGGAGATGTCTAGCATGCTCTGGGCATACAGGGAGGCCATTGTGTTGTGTGGGTAGAAGGGATGATGGGGGATGGCAATGTGACAATGTGCAAGGACAATACTGCAACAAGGAGCTAGATATTCCTGGAGTAGCAGTGCCCACTGACCAGGGAAAAAGATCATTTGGCAGAGGCACTTCTACTTATACACGGGTACTGCAGTAAAAATCCCAAGATCCTCTATGGATTGAATGTGAGAAGGATGGCAATTGTAAGACACATGACCATAGCCCTCCACAGTAGTCCCAAGAATCCTTGTGACAGTGTGTGTGGGTCCTGTGGAGCAGATTGTGGGGTCTGAGCTAGAGGCAGAGGGAAGGGGTTTTGAATGTGAGACAGATATCAGATGGCTTCAGCTGTGTGTGCTGTGCTGGGATTGTGGATGAAGAATAGGGAAATTTGGACAGCAGTGGTGAAGGATTCTCTTTGGTGGGTGTGAGGATGTGGAATGGAAAGTGAGTGAGGGGCCATGGAGGGCAGTCTGGGGTGGAGAGGATCAGTGTGTGACCTCAGGCAGCAGCATGTGCTGCTAGAGCAGGTGTCAGCCATGGGGGATGTTTAATAGCCTGATCTAATTCATGAGTTCACTGTAGACAGAGTTCAGAGGGGGAGGTGGGGACTGCAGGGACTGTGAGGGTTTACCTTGGCTGCTTGTTCTTTGTGGTGGGAATATTGGTGATTATGTGTCAAGGAAGATTCCCACGATAATACTGTGTAAGGAACAGCCAGGAAATCTCAGTGGAATATTGCAGAATTAAATATAGGCACTGAGGGATTTAAACTAACCAGAGTTGGGCTTGGCTAATCTCATTTGTGTAACTCACACATTGTTGTTCCGGTTGTGGAAGTGATATCAAAACTATCGTTGTTTCCAGGAAATATCCTGCCAGCAGAGGTACTAGAGGAAGGCAACACTTTGCTGAGAATCACACCTGAACACATTGCACAACATAGGAACTGAACTTCACTACTTGTGAAGACAGAAAGAAAGCTTTCTTTTTGTTGTAGACAAGCAGGTCCAATATGCATTCCATACCTTATTTCAGCTTTTATTTGGTTTTCTGTAGCTGGGTCTTTGTTTGACACAATGAAAAGTGAGAAGTTTAGAGATTAAATGAAGAGTCCTGGGACAAATAGCTTCCGTTATATAGGACCCTGAGTCATAAATGCCCCCACAGCCTGTGATCGTCTCCTTCAGGGCATGCTCTTCTTATAGGCTCCCCAGAATGCAACATGAATGGATCAATGGCTCTCCCTGAATGTCAGCAACACTAGAACCTTGCTGAGACCGGGGGTGTCACATTTTCCACAAGACTTCCATAGCTCCCCTCTTGCAGGACTGGGCTCTGCCCCACAAGTGCACATTGAAGGGCCAGAGAAGGATGGAGTTCATGTGGTGTGCAAGGCCTCAGGGTGGTTCCCCGAGCCCCAGGTGCAGTGGAGAGACGCCCGTGGAGAGAAGTTCCTGGAGTTCTCTGAGGCCCACACCCAAGACGCCGCAGGTCTGTTCAGCGTGGAGGCTGCTCTGGTGGTGAGAGACAGCTCTGCAGAGGATGTGACCTGCTCCATCCTCAATCCCATCCTGGGCCAGGAGAAGGTCATGACCATTCCCATCCCAGGTCAGTGCTGTCTGTCCTTCCCAGCATGGTTGAAGAGGGTGATGTCCCTGGGTGTGCTGGTGGGCCTGGAGGTACACCCCTGACTGTGTGTCCTGCTGGGCACAGAGTCCTTCTTCCTTCAGACCTCTCCCTGGAAGGCAGCTTTCACTGTGTGCCTGACTGTGCTGGGGCTGCTACTTGTTGGCGCTGGCTGGGTCACCAAGAGAGAGCATTCTGCAAAGGTGCGGGAGAGGCAGAGACAGAAGGATCTGTGCCAGGCTAAGGAGGAATACCAGCAGGCAAAGGAGGAGGTGCTGAAGTCCGGAGGTAGGGAGGAAGGTTTCAGAAGGGCAGGGGCAGTACTTGGTGCATAGAGGGGACAGCCTGACATGACTGGAGTCCATGGGTGCAGTTCTCAGAGGACATCCAGGACCGCAGGCCAGAGCAGGTGGTTGTGGAGACTCAGAGCAGAGCAGGGGGGATGTGGAGGTGTGGTGGGTCTGGAGTGAGAGCTGTGTATAGCACAGAGCAGAGGGCTTTCCTGTGGGGTCTTCAGCACATGGTCTCTCCTCTCCCTGGCGTGGAGTTCACGGTGTTTCCACTCTCTTTCAGATAAGCTCCAGGCAGAACTCGGTAAGCTCTGCTCTCCCTCCTGAGCTCTGTGTTTGCTGGAGAGAATCCTGTGGCTCTCAGCTCACCTGTTCCCTGTGTGCTGCTTTTCAGGTCGGAGGAAGGCAGCATTCCGGGCTGGTGAGTGACTCTGCAGATGTTCTGTGGTTTCCTGTCCCAGCCCTGCCTGGCTGTCCCCTCTCCTTGTTTCTGTCCTGGCACAGAGATATGGACCCCTTCCTTGGGGGCAGTAGCAGGGGCATTGGTGGTTGGCTAATCCTGGATCAGTGTGTTTTACCATCCATGCAACTGTTTCTCATCTCTGCTTTAAGCCCAGGGTGCAAACCTAGGCCAAGGATTTCGTCCTGCCACCTGAGTTTAATTCCAACTCTGACGTATGTTCCTCACATGAGTATTGCTACTGTCTTAGCCTGCAATGTACCAAGCTTGTGTGTGCATCAGGAATCCCAAAGCAGGTGTTCTAGGTTTTATGGGAGGTGGGATATGAGTAAATGTCACACTGGGCTTGGGAGTGTGACCTGCTTCCTTCTCAATGTGTCAGCAGGGTGAGGCAATTAGTCCTGTTCTGCACAGGTGCAGGTGTGAATGGATGGGTAGAGGACAGGGCTGCTGACCAGTTGTAGCGAGTCATGGAGGTTATGATTTTTTTTAGAGAGTAATTGTGCTTCTCTCTCTCGATTATTCCATGTTTATTGGTATAAAGATGTTTAAGATTTATTTCCTATTTTGTTATTTACAATGGGCAGTGTTCAATTCACAGACACAGGTCTTCCATGTGTTACTTCATTTCCTAGTTCTGGTTGATGCTAAAGCCAGGGACCAGGAGCTTCTTCCTGATCTCCTATGTGGTTGCAGGGCCCAAGTACTTTGGCCTTTCTTTTCTGCCTTCCAAGTTGGAGTAGCAGGGATCTGGATCAGAAGTGGCTCTGCTGAGGTTTGAATTTGAACCCATATTGAAATGTCATGCTGTGGGTGATGGCTTAGCCTGATATACCACACTGGAAATTCATTTTACTTTTTTGGTTTTAATTATTCCAATTTTTGCTTTCTAGAAATGATACACAATAACTAATTGTCATACATATAGAGTCAATTATAATTTTCACTAAATATTTGGTGATGTACTCTTCTATCTGACAAGGAACACCGAGGGACACATGACACAGGAGTCTCTGTGTCCTGAGGCTCAGGCAGCGAATTTTATAGTAAAAGTCCCACAGCAGTGGGTCAGAGCAGGCTTCCCGATGTGTGGCCCAGGAACTTCCCACAGTCCTCTGCTGGATGTCTTAACCTACAGGAGGCCACTCCTCTGCAGCCCCCCTCCTCCTGCTGTCTCTCCCCTCAGCACAGAGGGCAGGTGGGGGCTAAGCAGGTGGTGGCTGTAGTCTCACAGGTGTGTTTCCTTTCAGCCTGGAGGAAGGCGCAGCTGTATGCTGGTAAGTGAGCTGATGGTTCCTCTGCCTCCCCTCCCTCTGCCCTGCCCTGCCTTTCCCCTCCTCTGTGTGTGGATTTCCCCAGCATGGGAGGGACATCCCTGCTTTCCCTGTCCATGTTGTGGCCCCCAAGCAGGGACTCCTCCTTAGGAGCACAGCTCTTCTTCCATTTTGGGCTCTCCCTCTCCTGAAGGTCACTGTTAGGGCCACCCTCTGCAGGACCTTGTTCAGCTGGTATTTCTCATTGGGGTGGTGACCATGGTTAGAGAGTAGCAGGGTGACCCTGTTCAGATCAAGAATTGCTGGACTCTAGAAGACGCTGGAAACCACACCCAGCTGTTTGGATCTCAGATGTCAGTAAGAGGGTTGTTAGTTCTATGACCTTCTTATCCCCAAATACCTACACTGTAAGTACTAATTTCCCCCCGCCCCCCATGTCTTCCTGGTCCTCTGGGACGCTGTTCTCTTTGTTATGTGCTCTGACCACTGTCCAAGCTGCGTGTCTTCCTCAACACATCCTTGGTTGCTGAGGAATGAGTTACTCTGAGTACATGTTCCTAATCCTGGAAACCCTCCAGGATATTAGTGGATGGATTTCTGTGTTGGTGTGTATGAAACATCTGAAATTATTGCATCATTCTGAGTATTGCTCGATAGGGAGATGGGGAGAGTGAGAATGAGAGGCAGAGAAGGAGAAAGACAAGAGATTCCATGGCTAGTTTTCTCCCCATCTGCCATCAACAGCCAGTGCTTGGCCAGATCAAAGCTGCTGGTTGGGCACTCCTTCAGGTCTCCCATGTGATGTCAGCATCTCCCCTGCTCAGTGCTGCCTCTCAAGAGTGTCTTTAGTCAACACAAGTAGGAGTCATGTGTTGGAGTTGGGAACTGAACCAAACATTTCAGTGGCAGTAGTGAGTGTCTTAACCATTAGGCTGAGTACTGGCCCCTGTGAATGAAAATAATACTTGTTTGGAAGGAAGAGAAAGTGGGAAGTAACACACACTCTTACTTATTTATTGTTCCATTCCTTGAATGTCTGCAATGGCCAGGGTAGTTTCAGGGCTGTGCTGGGATCAAATCTACGAGTGTGCAGCTCATTCTTGGTCTCAATATGGGTGTCAGGGATCCATTTACTTGATCTGTCACTTGTTCCCTCCCATGGTGTTCACTGACAAGAAGATGTAATTGGGAGTTGGAGTTGGATCTGGTCATCAAACCCAAGCACTCAGATTTGGAATGTGTCCTGTTACCCTGTGACTTTATTGTGAGCTATGAGGGCAAGTACCTGTCCACAAATAGGTGCTTTTTAAAAAAACAAGAACAAAATTTCAGTGTGAGATTTTTCACATCACTTTGTCATAGTTATGGAGAATTCTGTTTGTGTAAGAATTCATGCACTTTCTCAGTTTTGTTTAGGGGTAATATAGGAAGACTGGAAAAAGAGAAAGCTAGATATTGAAATTACTTACCAGAGAAAGATTAGTAAAACAAAACAAAGCAAATCAAAACAAAACAAAACAACCCCTGAGGAACAGGTTCTGTCCGGCGGCGAGGAGGAGATGAGTTAGGCAGCAAACAAACACCTGGGAGTGATGCTGTGCAGAGGTTCTGGGTGGTTCAGAGGGACTGATGTGGGCTGAGGGTCACAGCATGGTGTTGTAATCTAGGAAGGGAACAGAAGTCTGAGGGCGTAGGTTGGAAATATGATTGTCTCCATGACATCTCCTTGACAAATTTAGGTAAAAACCTGAAATTAAAATAAAAGTTTCTTTGGACAGAGGGAGAGCATGCATTTGCTTTATTCCCTGTTTGACTCCTTGAATTTCTGTGATTGTGTGCCGAGGACAGAGCCAGGATAAGAACTCATTCCAGGTCTCCCTCCTGAGTGGTAGGAATCCAGTTACGTGAACCATCATTGCTGCCTCCCAGGATCTTCAACAGAGGAAGTCAGAGTCAGGGGCTGACACCGGGAATTGGACCAGGCACCAAGAGGTTGATGTGGGTATCTCAGTGGCTGGACTAAATGCCAGCTGCTTATTCTGACCTCTTTTTAAAAATATTTATTTATTTTTATTGCAAATTCATGTGTACAGAGAGGAGGAGAGACAGAGAGGAAGATGCTGCATCCAATGAATCACTCCCCAAGTGACCACTATGGCTGGTGCTGGGCCGATCTAAGCCAGGAGCCAGAACTTCCTCCAGGCCTCTTATGTGGGTACAGGAACCCAAGGCTTTGGGCTGTCCTTGATTGCATTCCTAAGTCACAGGCAGGGATCTGGATGGGAAGCCAGATTGTCGGGATAGTCCGGCACCCATATGAGATCGAGATGTGTTTGAGATGAGGACTTAAATCTAGGAACATGGTAAATTTCTCCGTCTTATGGTTTCCTTCCCTTTCATTTTTCAGTGCTTTGCAATTTTCATCATCGAGGTCTTCCATGTCTTTTGTTAGGTTAATTCCAAGGTATTTAAGGTTCCTCTCTGCTGTTTTTTTTGACTTGTTTTTTCTTTCTTTTAATTACGTTGCATTATGTGACACAGTTTCATAGGCTCTGGGATTCCCCCAACCCTTCCCAGTTCCCTTCCTCCCTGGTGGATTCCTCCACCTTGTTGCTGTATTACAGTTCAACTTAAGTCAAGATTCTTTCTTTGCATACATATATTGAGCATAGAGTCCAGCATCTTATTGTCCAGATAAATCCAATGGTTTCTTGGGGAGAATATCTCTGGACTGAAGGCAGAGCTGGCAGACTATCATCCCGCTCAATTGAAAGCCCCAATACAACATCAACAACAAATTACAACATTATGGAATTAATTGACATGGTATTGAGTAATCAATATATTAATAAAATGCAAGTTCTTAACCATATCCTGTGACTACTTCATTGATATTTGAATTTTAGTTTATGCACAGAACCGGCTGCTATACACCTTAAAATGTTTAGGGTACTATTCAGCTGTCTGCTATTTTAAAAGATTTATTTATTTATATATTTTTTGGAAAGTTAGATGCAGAGAGGAGGCAAGATGGACAGAAGATCTTCCATCCACTGATTGACTCCCCACGTGGTTGCAACAGCTAGAGCTGAGCAGATCCGAAGTAAGGATCTAGCAGCTTGTTCCAGGTCTCCCACAGGTGTCCAGGGTTCCAAGTTTTGGATGATGCTTGACTGCTTTCCCAGGCCAGAAGCAAAAAGCTGGAAGGGAATTGGAGCAGCCCGGATTAGAACCGTTGCCTACATGGGATCCCGGCATTTCCAAGGCTAGGACTTTAGCCATTAGGCTATTGCACTGGGCCCCTCTCTGCTGTTTTATAGGAGACTCTATTTACAAGCTCTTTCTCTGCCATGGAGTTATTTGTGTATACTAAGGCAATTGATTTATGTTCATTAATTTTGTATTCTTGTACCTTGCCAAACTACTTATGAGTTCCAGTATTCTCTTGATTGGCTCTTTTGGTCCTCTTGAATCATGTCATCTGTGAGCAGTGATAACTTTAATTCCTCATTACTGATTTGTATTCCTTTAGTTTCTTTTTGCCTATTAGCTCTAGCTAGGATTTCCAATGCTATGTTTAATAGCAATGGTGAAAGTGAAAGTGGACATCCTTGTGTAGTTGTAGTTCTTAGCGGAAAAGCTTCCATTCTTTCCCCATTCCGTGTGATGTTTTTTGGATATTGCATTGATTCTGTTCTACAATGTTCCTTCTATGCCTATTTTTCATGGGGATTTTAGCATGAAAGGGTGTTATATTTTGTCACATGTCTTCTATGTATCTTTTTAGATGATGCAATGATTCTTATTCTTTAATTTGCTCATGTTTGTATCAGATTCATTGATTTTCATATATTAATCCATCCCTGCATGCCAGTGATAAATCCTACCTGGTCTGAGTGAATGATCTGTCCGATGTACTGTTGGCTTCTGTTGTATTTTGTTGAAGATTTTGGCATTTATGTTCATCAGAGGTGTTGGACTGTAATTCTCTTTCTCTGTGGTGTCTCTGTCTGGTTTTGGTGTTAAGGTAATATTGGCTTCACAGAAAGAGTTTGCGGGACGGCCTCCCTTTCTGTTGTTTGGAGTGGTTGGGGAGAGTTGGTGTCAGTTCTTCGTGAGCCATTTGGTAGAATTTAGTAACGAAGCCATCTGGTCCTAGGATTTTCTTTATTGGTGGGTATTTAATTGCTGATTCAATCTCAGTCCTTTAGCTTATTAATTGTCTATTTAGATGATTAATTACCTCATGATTCAATTCTTACAGATGTATGTGTCCAAAAATTCTGTTTTCTAGGTCTTTTTTGTTGACATATAATTGTTTGTAATTGTTTTTGATTAGTCTATATATGTGTGGGGTGTCTATTGTTATATCTGCTTTTTTGTGCCTATGATTCTATTGATTTACATTTCTTCCTCTTTTTTTGATTAGTTGGGCTGGTGGGTAATGTATTTTGTTGATTTTCTCAAAAATATAACTCCTTGATTTATTGATCTTACGTAATGATATTTTGTTCTCTATTTGGTTTGGTTTTTCCCCTTAGTTTGATCATTCCTTTTTTCGTACTAATCTTGTGTGTTTTTGCTGTTAAAATATATGGATATCCTGTTTACTTTGTGTTTTTTCTCATTTTTTGACGTGAGTGTTGATTGAAATGGGCTTTCCTCCTAACACTGCTTTGATTGTGTCCCATAGTTTTGATAGCATATTGTTCAGTCTCCAAGTATTTGCATATCTTCTGGGGTATTTTGACTTGTTAGCCTCCAGTTTTACTCCATGATGGTCTGAGACGGTGCATGGGATGTTTGAATTTTTAAGATTTGTGAAGTTTGTTTTGTTACTTTTAGTAAGTGTGTTTCTGGAGAAGGTTCTATGTAGTATTGAAGAAAAGTATATTCTGCATCTGTAGGATGAAAGATTGTGAAGGTGTGAATTAGGTCCATTTGTTCTATTGTCTGGGTGGGTCCTGTTGTTTCTTGCTGAGTTTCTGTCTTGTATATCTGTAATTGAGGTTAGTGTGGTATTAAGGTCCCCCACTATTATTATAGTGGAGTCTATTTTTCCCTTTAAATGCATTAATATTTGTTTCATGTAGATAGGTGCATTGGAGTTTGGTGCATATATATTTATTATGATTATTTCTTCTTGCTGGATGGATCCCTGAAGTATTACATGTCCTTCTTTACCTTTTAAAAATACTTTTCATATCAAAGTCTATATTATGTGATATTAGAATGGTTATACCAGCTCATTTTTCTTTTTCATTTGCCTGGAATATCCTTTTTTCCCTTTCCCTTTCAGTTTCTGCTTAACCTTGTTGGTGAGATGTGTTTATTATAGATGATAATTAGATGAGTTGTTTTTTGATTCAGTGTGCCAATCTATGATGTTTGATGAGTTTAATCATTTGCCTTCAGGGTTAATATGAATAGGTAGTGATTTGGTTTTGTTATTTTGGCACTAGGTTTTTATTGACTTAGTCTTCTTTTGTCATTTTTGGGACGTTCACCATGTTTGCCTTTGGTGTTGATAGGTGGCATGCCTTTTCTCTGTCAGTGGGACATCTTTTGGTGACATTTCTAGGCCAGGTCTGGTAGAGGTAAAATCTTTAATATTTTGTTTGTTGTGGAAGTCTTTTTTTCCATTGTCAAAGTCAAGGAAAGCTCTACTGGGTAAGTTGTTCTGGGCTGGCATTTTTTCCTCCTGGGGTATGGAATATGTCACTCCATTCTCTTGTGGCCTATAGAGTTTCCTCTGTCAGTTGTGAGTCTGATTGTGATTTCTCTATAAATTAATAGACTTTTATGTGCATTTAAAAAAAGATCTATTTTATTATTATTAAAAAGTCAGATTTACAGAGAGAATGAGAGGCAGTTAAAGATCTTCGATCGACTTGTTCGCTTCCCCAGTGGCTGCAGTGTTTGGAGTTGTGCTGATCTGAACCAAGGTTCTAGAACTTCTTCCAGGTGTGCCACTCAGGTTGCAGGGTCCCAAGGCATTGGCCTGTCCTCTATTACTTTTCCAGGCCACAAGCAAGGAGTTGGATGGGGTGTGGAGCAGACACACAAACTGAGTGGGATCTGTCTGCATGGGATTCCTGTGCGTGCAAGGGAGGAATTTAGCTACTGAGCCATCATGCCCTCAACTACATATTTAAATATGTTTTCCTTAAGTTCAATAAAAGAGAGATTATGTTTTCCTTAAGTTTAACAAAAGAGAGATTGTGATGTGGTGATGTTTACTTTCAGTTATCTCTATTTGGAGTCCTATGCCCCTCCTGTGGTCTTTTTCTTTATTCTTTCTCAATATTAGTGAAATTCTCAATTATTTTTTAATTGAATATGTTTTGAATCCAGCTTCTCTTTCTCTTCTGAAACTCCTATAGCTCATTTGTTTAACCTTTTGTGTCCCTAAATTTCTGGAATATTTTTCTTAGCTTGACTCAGCTTATCGTCCAGTTTTATAGCATTTTATCATAATAACAGGCATCCTATAATTTTGGCATTCTTTCTTTTTCCTCACTCACTGGATTATTAAGGCTTTTTACTAAATTGTTATTTGCTATATTCTTCATTCCTAAAAATTCTGCTTGATTTTGTTTTAATGTTGCTATTACTTATGTAATGTATTCTTTAGATTCTTTATTCTTGTTTGTGTATTGTGTCTGTTTTTAATGAAGTGTAGAATAATTTTTTAAAATTGTGTATCTCCCAGTTCCTCAATGCCACCTTTGTTACATCTGAGGTTGACATTGATTTTTTGCTTTTTCTTGTGGAGTTGGAACCAAAATTCTTATTCTTTGTGCCTCTATCTGTTTTTTTTTTTTGCTCTTGGTCGTTATTATCGGATACCAGATTCTTCCCTTTGGGGCTTTTAAAAAATTCCTTTTTATTTATTTCAAATTGATTAATTTTATGACACAGTTCCATTGACTTCAGAATTTCCCCTCTTGCAGCTCACATTAAAAAAAAAAGATTTATTTAATTTTATTGCAAAGTCAAATATACAGAGAGGAAGACAAACAGACGGGAAGATCTTCTGTCTGCTGATTCACTCCCGTAATGACCGCAATGACTGAAACTTCGCTGACCCAAAGCCAGGAGCCAGGAACCTCCTCCAGGTCTCACATGCAGGTACAGGGTCCTAGGGTTTGGGCAGTCCTTGACTGCCTTCCCAGGCCACAAGCAGGGATTTAGATGGGAAGCAGGGCAGCTGTGAGTAGAACCAGTGCCCATATGGGATCCTGATTCGTTCAAGGCAAGAACTTAAGCTGCTAGGCCATGGCATGGGCCATGAGCTCACTTTTAAGCTGTGTTGTTCACAGGTGTATAGTCAACTTTATTGGTCATGCTCAGTTTGCCATCACTCATACCACTCCTTCCAGAGACTTTCAGTCCCAGGCTCTCATGATGTGCTTCCACCATTGTCTCTCTAGCCCTGGCTCCTGGCTCATCACTCTCCACCCATTGTGATCCCATGCTGTGGCTGCACCATTGCTTGCTCAGCCTGTTTTCTGCTCTTGGTTTCAGCAGTGCCTGTGATTACGGAGACATCCCCTGTCCTGAATCACAGGGTTGTCAGTGTCAACATTGCACAGATTTTTCTTTCTTCTTTTTGTTAGAACATGCAGGTGATTAGGTCTATGGGGCAACATGGACCTATTTTTGATGGAACCCATGGCATGCTGAGTCAGTATTGTTTCCCCAGTGGGACCAGTGGGATGCATTGAGGCAAAAGTGAGTTCTCTTCTGGCTTAGCACATGTACATTTCATTGTTGCCACAAACTTTGCCTCAGAACACAAAATGGCACCTGATGTGTGGAGGTCAGAGCCATGAAGTCCACCCTGTTCCTGCACCTGATTTCCTGGGTTCTGCCACTCTGCTTCTGCTCACAGTCGGATGAAACATATCAGCAGAACAGGGAGTTCTATGGCTGTTTCCATCTCTTGAGTTTCTGGCGAAAATTTGCTATGAAAATTAAATGAAATGTGTTATGATGTTTATGAAACACTACTTCACATTTTGTGGTTTTAAAAGGTAAGTGCTGATCCTATTTCAAGCTCCTTTTCTTTCTTCTCTTTCTCTTATTTTGGTCAGGTGTGACAGTCATGGCACAGAACTTCCCAGTTAGTTGATAACGAATGCAAGTGAAACATTTATTTTTCTTCCGGAGATCACATGACCCAGGCCCACATTACATGTGATTTTGTTCCCATCAAGCAAATTAACACACATGGAAATCTTAATTTGTCTGAAAAAATGTATATGAGTGTTTGTACTATTTATAATCTTACCCATGGCCTGTCCATCAGAAAGACAAGTTTACTTTTTACTCCAAAGTTCTAATCTTGTTGCTGTGCTTACGTCGCAGCCTGCCTTCCCCTGGGCTGGGCAGATAATGCTCTCTCACTGTAGAGTCCTTAGTGTCTGAGCATGAGTAGAGTCTTTGCTTTGGTCAGTAGCTGCGCTTCTCCTCCCCAAGGAGGAGCATGGAGAGGGAAGAGATGCAGTGTCCTTGGGAGGTGTGGGAGAGTCTTCCTGTGCTCTCCTTTCATCCTTCAGGTGCTCATGCTGGAGATGTGGGGCTTAGCTGGTCCTTAAGCAGCTATCCTGTTGTCAGCTGGATAAGGGGAAGGACAGGTCTGGTCATTTAGGGTCACTGTTGTTGACTATACTGCATGACTTTGGAGTTCATGTTCTGGGTGACTTGGCTTTGAATGGGAAATTGATGTTCTATGTTGAGTTTTTCTTCCTCTTTCTCAGACCTTCCCTTGCCCACTGGTTTTCTGGACAGCTCTGACCCTTCCATCTCTCTCCACAGTGTGTGGGAACTTTTGGCTGTCCAGTTTTCCATATGCAGGTTGCAAGTGTCCTTGTGTTCTCTCCAGACACCTTCTCCTGGTAGTTCTACTGCACGTTGTGTATAGCATCCAACTGCATGTGATTGTGGGAGGTTTCTGTTTGCTGCGTAACAATGAGCTTGTTCTTGGTCACTTTTAAACTAACACAAATCTGTTGACTGAAGCTCTTTAGGCTAGAAATCTGAACAAATCTCAGTGGGATAATGGCTTGCAGGTCTCCATTCTTTCGGTGACTCCTGCCTCTTCCAGCCTCTGAGGTGACTTGCTTGGCTTGACTCAAGGCCCCAGTATTATGTGTGCAAATCTAGCATTGCTTACATCTTCCTGACCCCGTTTGTATCACAGTTTAACTTTCTCAGCAACACAGACTGGTAATGATTTCAGGGTTCATTTGATTAGGTTTAGCATATTGGATAATGCATGAGCTCTCAAAACATCAAATTCTTGAACTTTATGTCACCTGCAAAGCTTCCTCTTCCTGTCATATGATGTGTTTTAGGAGTTGTAGGTACACAGCATTGGGAATCAGCCTCTCTGTTCTACTTAGTTTGTGGTACCCTCACCACAATGTGTTAGAAGCAACCTAGAAGTTTAACTTAAACAGTGCTCTGCAAATGAATGTAGGGCTTGGAATTTTGCATGCCCTACATATTCCAGGGATATCTAGCTTTCAGTATGTTTTTGTGGCTAGGAGATTGAGTAGCACCTGTTGTTAATGAAATTTCTGTAAAGGCGTATCTGTTGAGGGCAGAGTCCAGTGTGTCAATCCTGGATGTTAGATTTATATTATATTTGGCCTTCACTGGAGGCTGCTGCATGCCGTGCATCTCTCTCTCTCTCTCTCTCTCTCTCTCTCTCTCTCTCTCTCTCTCTCTGTGTGCGTGCGTGTGTGTGTGTAGGAAGCTGTGTATCAGCTGAATGTATCCCAGCACATTTCTCCTTCACTCCCCACATCACTGTTTGAGAGGAGCAGGTGCTGAACTGACATGTACAATTTGTGCAGACGGTGATATAAATGTGTATTCTCTTACAGATTGGCGGAAAGAAGAGTTCCAGGCCTGTGAGTTCCTTCATGTTTTTTCTGGGTGCTCCTCCTGTGGTGCCCATGGCCCTAGCTTCTCCTTCACTTGTTGTGGTGATGTAGATGCTGGCAGCATCAGCAGTGGGGGGATGGAGAGTATGTGGAAGAACGCTTGGTCTGCTTCTTAGATTCTGGGACACATCTGACTCTCAGAGCATTGTGGTTCTTCCTCCTGGTTATAGGGCTGGGATGGCTTGGCTGATTGAGAATTCTCTCTGCAGTGTCTGCAACTCTGGATTCAAGTTCTGTCATACACAACAACGTTCTTATTTCTCCTGAAAGGACTTCTGTGACCTTTAGGGACAAAAATTTTTGTGATTTCAACCATTCCTGGAAGTATACTGCTGTGCGTGGTCTAGAGCGCATCACTTCAGGAAGATGCTACTGGGAGGTGGAGATCAAGGGTGACATGAGAAACGAGTGGGGTCTGGGGGTTTATCAGATGAATCAGAAAAGGTCAGTTGAAACTAGAAAACCATCACAGGATGGTTGGATCGTGTTTCGTAAAGACAATGCATATTATACCAGAATTAATAAATTAATCTCTCTATCCCTTAGAAAAGATCCCCGCAGGGTTGGGATCTTCCTGGACTACAGTGAGGGTGATATCTCCTTCTATAACATGACTGATGGGTCCCACATATTCTCCTTCCCCCCAGCTGTGTTTTCTGGACCCCTCTTCCCATTATTCTGGCTTATTTCAGGAGATCTGACCCTGAGCATCTGCTCCCCATTGGGTGGGTCTGAGGGGCTCCCTGGGACCGTGAGTGATTCTCCTTCTTTGGAGGAGACTGTGAGGCCCCAAGGGGTGGGGAAGAGTTCAGGCTCTGATGCTGAGGGTGCTCCCCCAGGGGCTGAGTCTCCATTACTTCCATGCTCCCCATAGGGTCCTTCCTGTTCTGACTCCTCAGTTTGACACTCCTGTTGCTTCAGGCTCCCTGTGATTCAAGGCCCTCAGATGAATCCCTGATGGTCACTGGTCTTTCTGCTCCTGTAGCTGTGAGGGTTGGTGTGTCAGACAGAGGAAGATGAACGTTGACTCTTGTTTGAAGTAGTTTAGGATAGGCCATATTATAATATGAAATAGTTATTTTTGGTATGAAAATTATTTCACAGGTCTAATAGGTTTAAAATTCACTTTTGACATGAAGGGAGCTGAGATATAAGATTTTTCTTTAAGATTTATTTTTATCGCAAAGTCAGATATACAGAGGAAGAGAAACAGAGTTGAAGATCTTCCATCTGCTGAGCCACTCCCCAAGTGACGACAATGGTTTGAGCTGAGCCAATCTGAAGCCAGGAACCTGGAGCCTCTTCCTGGTCTCCGACACGATACAGGGTCCTATGGCTTTGGGCAATGCTTTCCCAGACCACAATCAGAGCACTGGATGGGAAGCTGGATGGGAAGCAGGGCTGCCTGGATTAGAACCAGCACCCATATGGGATCCCTGTGTGTGCGATATAAGGACATTAATGGCTAGGCTATTGCACTGGGCATGAAATCTGTGTTTTTTTGCAGAAGAAAAGAATTTTAAATATTCAGGTTGCGTCTGAGCAGAGGGACTAAGAGAATGACAGTGTTCCCACATCTATTCTGGGAGCATTTGCCTCACTGGTTGACAAAAGTTTGCCATACAAATATTGCATTGGAAATGAATGACGATGGATTGTAATATGAAGGAATCTAGGGTTTACATTGTGTACCTCCCTTTCTGGAATGGAAGAAACATGGCTGCTTTTCCACTCCTCAGTATATTCCTATGACCCATGAACACACTGTGGTGTGTTAATACAGGGAATCTGAGGATGAGGGTTTGGATTCTCCCTTTGTGTCAACACGGTAACCGAGGGAAGAAGAGAACTGTTATCAGAATAGGCAGTGAGTAGTGCTCAGATGAAAAGGAAGAGAGAATATTCAATTACAAGCTCAAGTGCTGAAAGTTTGATCATGATGATGGTCAAACGCATCAGCTCCTAGTACTTCCAGATCCATTTGTCTCAATGACAGGAACACCATAGCCAAGCCAAAGCAGCAGGAGTGTGAAGGACTCTGATTTTTAAGCATGGAGATGTGATTGCTTCGTGACATGAAGAGCTCTGATCAGGAGAGGACACGTGGTTCAGGGTTTGGGTCCTGCCTCCACTTGTGATTCTAGCTTCCTGCTAATCCACACTGTGGAAGTGATTCAGCTGAGATGGGAATCCATGGAATTTGTTCTATTGGTGATGAAGCATGAAGCTGATGGACAACAAGAGGGCAATTTTATCATAGTGTTACTGGAAGAGTAAATGTTAGACACTCCAGCTACTCAGGAGGGGAACATTTTCTTGGGGTTTATATATACATAAAACATCATATAAAATTTCTGTAGAATTAAAAAGTACTTTACCTTAGGTCTTTTCAGGAGGTGTGTTTGTCTCTATCACATTGTCAGATCTGGGTTTGATATACGGTCATCATTACTGACAGGGGGCCACTTATATCAAGCTTAGCATGAGACCTTGTTTTCCTTATTGATGAAGTTCCACACATCATATCATGGTATCAGGTTCATTTGCTCCAGCCGTATTTCCTTGCTCAGGCTGGTATCCCAGTGAGGTTGAGAACATTTTTCACATCCCTGGAGGAACTTTTATTCCTCTCTCTCACTTCTTAGCAGTTCCCACTCAGACTGATGCCTGTTAACGTGTGGAATCCAGTCACACAATGGAGTTACTTTGGCTCATGCCTGCACACGTTTGCTAACCTGCTGTTTATGCTTCTGTATAAAATGTTTTGCTTGCGTCCTGGTTTTTGGGCCAAAGTCCAAGTTGCAACACACCCTGCCAGTGCCCTTGGCTCTAGGTACTGGTATTGTATGCTTTTCCACATCCTGGTTCCCTTGGCTGCCTAACTACCCTGATTCCCATGCCTCCTAACTCATCCATTCTACAAAGACCCTTGTAACTTGCTTCCTGGATCACTTTCTGAAGGAGAGCACGGCTGACCCTTGCCAGTTTGTGTGTTTACCTGCCTGCTCAATAAACTTTGCTGCACTGAGGAGTTGTCTTGGATGTACGTTTTTGGGAGAGACTCAGGCTGGATGCAACTAAAGCACATGGCTTAATTGTTGGGCTCCTGTCTCCCATGTGTGAGACCTGGACTGAGTTCCAACTCCCAGGCTTCAGCCTTGTCCAGCTGCTGTTGCATCATGCATGTAGAGAGTGAACCAGTGTATGAATGAGAGCTTTGTCTTAATACCAAATAAAAAGTGAAAAATGATCTCTGGAGTATTATCATTCTGGGTGAAGGTAAGAAGGTATGATTGGGAGTGGGAGAACAAATCATAGTATTGATTCTGGCCTTGTGAGCAGTTAGAGTGGCTGCCATAGTTTCAAAATTTGTGCTTCCGGAGGCAGACATTCAGTCCCCCAAATGTTCACATTAAGGCACAATGGTGGTTGAAAGTTAACCAAAGCATTGTGTTATAAGTGAGGCCTTTGTGAAGTGTCTTCATACAGGCAGACTGTGAGGGTGTAGCCCCATGGCTGAATCTCGGCAGATTTACGAGTAGAGTGGGACATGGGAGCTGCTCCTGTGGAACAGAGTGGGCCCTTGTGAACGTGCTGTTTGAATCTCCATAACCATGAGCCAGAATTGGCCTCTTGTCCCTTGAAGTCACTCTGCCTCATGCATTTCATTCTTTTTTTTAAAATTTATTTTAATGTTTTACATAGTTGATTAGGGCCAAGGGCTAGAAAGTGGATAAGATCAGTTCTTTTCAGATTCTTGTTTTTCCTTTCTGTTTCTTGAGGAAGGGTAGAGATAAGAGGAAAAGCCACACCCAGCCTCCCAACCATCACAGCCTCCCCAGTTTGGGCACTGCTCTGAGGGCACTGCTTAAATGCTGTTCCTTTTTTAAAATTTATTTTTATCCAGATAGACACAGGAGGAGAGATAGGAAAATGTTCCATTAATGATTCACTTCCCAAGTTGTCTCAACGGCTGGTGCTGAGCCAGTCCAAAGCCAGGAACAAGGAGCTTGTGCTGGGTCTCCCATGTAGGAGCAGGGTTTCAAGGCTTTGGGCCGTCTTCGACTGTTTCCCAGGCCACAATCAGGGAGCTGGTTGGGAAGCAGAGCTGCCAGAATTACAACCAGCACCCATATGGAATCCCGGGCGTGCAAGGATGAGGACCTTAACCTGGGCACTATTGGCTGGGCCCTGCTCAAGTGCTTTTGAGAGTTTAGCAGTTCTGTATTGCTGCTGGATTGCTACTTCAAGCTGGATGAAGTCTCTCTAGAATACACTGGCTGACATAGTCTACCTTGGAGTCTCGTTTGCCTAGATTTTCACTGCCAACACTTGGATGGGGTAGATGATCAATTTGTTCTTACCTCTGCTCTGTTACCAGGTGTCCTCTGTGGGTTCTAATGTACTGCTCTATCCTCCATATGCAACAGACCATGTTTCCCCTTGTTTCATCTAAGCTGCTGAGGAGATCCAGCTCAGAACATAAACACTCCATGATTAGACCATGAACTCTACAGTTTTCCTCATGATTGAAGTTCTGAGTCCAGAGGTTCAGTTGGGGGATCCCCAAAGAAACCTCTTCTGAGGTGATCCCAGACCTGATTCTTGTGTGTGCTTGCCATTATTGGGCCCTGCACTGTCTGTTGCCCAAATCAGCTTACATGCAGAGTGAGGATTGCAATTGTTTGGTCAGTTCTCTCTCCTGCCATGCCTTCTATGTTAACCCAAAGGGTTTTGCACTCCAGCTCAGTCCTGTGCACCACAAACTTGGCCATGTAAACAAGTGGTAGATGCAGCTTAGTTAGGGTGACACAAAATGACATCCCCCCTCCCGGCCAGCCCCAGCCCTGGTTCCTGTGCTTGCCAATACATACAGCAGACTGCTCTAGTCTTTCCCACATCCCCTTCAGCTCTCATGTATGTCAATGGGCATTGAAGCCTTGTACCATCAACCAGTCTCACCATCCAGCATACCTGCTGGTGGGTGCCACTCTGTCTCGCCATTCCTGCCCCAGTCATGGTTCTAATGTCCACCATTTGAAGTGGCAACCAGGAGGGAGGTGTCCACTGTTTCCTTACTGTGCCAATCCCACTCCCAGATCATGCACTCTTCAGGTGGTTCTGCAGTTTGGCTTGACAGAATTTAACCACCATAGTAGCATCTGCCAGCTGATGTTGTGGCAAAGCCCAACCAATCCACATCGATTTTGCTTGTGCATGCTCCAGTAGGAACAGTCAGCCTAGCCTGGTCTTCCCCTGATCCAGCTTACATGAGGGCAACAGGTGTTGTAGCCCTGCCCAGCCTGGTCTGCCCCCAATTGCAGCTCTCATGCTTATCAGTTGAAGTACTGGTGCAACAGGGGAGCCCCACACATTCTCCATTCTGTGTTCATTTCCTACCCCCGGTTCTCATGTGTGCTGGTTGAGTGCTGCTGCCTATTCAGGCATGGCCTGACTCACCTCAGCATTTGCCAATGGGTGCTGCTGTGTGACTGGGCCAGGCACGCCCACAAATTCCAGCTCACACTGGTAGAGCTGTATCCTAGCCTATTGTATCCTAGCCTAATGCAGCCCAGGCAGCCCTAAGTCCTAGGCAGCCTCCAGCCTAGGCAGCCCCACTAATGTAAAACTTGCTGGTATTTTGGCCTAACTAGCCTGACAAATATGTCATTCTGGTTCTTGGATTTGCAAGTGGGTGATTTGAATTGGCTTAGCCTGGCTAGCTCCAGATCTGATGCAAATGTATGCTGGTGGGTACCATTCCCTGGCCTGTTCTGTGCTGCTCCCTTTGTTAGTTCTTTCCCTACCTGCATGTACTGTGTCCAGATAGAGGAGTTGCCAAGCTCATCCATCAGAACCTCTACTAAGGGCAAATCTCACTCACACTGGTGGTTCCTTGGGCCAGCCCTACTTAGTCCACCTTCCATTTGAGCAGGAAGAGTGGCATTTCCTGATTGGCCCTTAAGCTTTCCTGGTTTTTAGTGTTTGGTGCTACATCCCAGCCAAGCCTGGTCCACACCCAGACACAGCTCACATATGGCTCAGGAGGGACCTAGACCTATCCTGGCCCATCCTACATCTGTCCTGATTTTCATGAGCCCCAGTGGGTGCTGGATTCTATCCCAGTCTGGTACATACCAGACCCAGTCGAGGGAGACTGCAGCCATGTCCAGACTAGACAGCAGCTCCCATCTGGCTTTCATGCTCACCAATGGAAACCACACCCCAGCCAGGGCATTCCCTTAGCTCCCCAACCAGGCCTGTTCCCTGCCACAGATCTTGCATGTGCCAGTGGTTTCTCTAACCCAGCATTGGGTAGCGCCTCACCTATCTTGGCCATTGTCTTAGATGTGTAGCCTGGCCTGGACCCCCAGTCCCAACTCTCGCTGGTGGGTGCTGCAACCTGGACCTATTCAATCTGCTGCCATTTCTGGCTCTTGCAAACTGGTAACTATGATAGCCTAGCCCAGAGTGTTCTGCACTCCCACCAGCTTTCTGCACTTGCCAGTGGTCTAAGATCTTCTTGGCCATGCCTGGTCTGCCACCTTCCAAAACCAGCCCGCATACTTGCCAATGGATGAAGCTTCCTTGCCTTTCCTGCCCAACTCATATTCCTGGAGCATGTGCTCCAAGCAGAAGCTATGACCTAATGGGGGAGTTACCAAGGTTCCCCCAATTGGCTCACTCTCAGACCCAGATCTCTCTCTCTCTTTTTTTTTTCTTGATAAATGGAGGATTTTCCTTTTTTTTTTTTTTATTTTGACAATCTTTACATAGTTAATTAGGGTAAGAAGTTTCAAAGGCTACAGGAAAGTGGATAATGCTAGTATGT